AAATGTCCTTGAATTATAGAATACGAACATGTGTTCCTCTTGTTACTTATGGGAATAAAGTGATTACACAACATAGCCATATAAAATACTCTACTCTGTATATTAAATGAATTAAGAAATATATTGCATTATTTAGGCTAAGGTGATACATAAAAGGAGAAGGTTTAATCTTTAATATTATGATGAAAAGTAGGCTACTTCATATAACTATGAACCACACATGGAGCCAGTTAGCAAACTGCTATGGAGCCTGCCTTCGTTCCTTTGTTCTTGTTGCATTTATCTACAGCAAATTATTGAAAAAGTTCATTTTTTAAAAAAAGGGGGGAAGGGTATTCCTACTGATAATTCTATGAAATGCTGTTATTTCTCTACCACCCTGAAATGAAAAGCTATTTAAATAAATTAAATGTTTTAAATACGTTAATTAACCTAATCAAGAGTCTGGTTGTTTTCCAGCCTACTTTCTCCTCCTCCTCACTGGAATTTATTAATCATTTAAAACTTTTTGTATGACTTCCACAAGTAGAACAGTTCCATTCTTTAACTTCTTTTTCCAATCTCTAAGATTCATTAACCAGTTGCATGTGGATTTAGGTCCAGGTAATAGCCAAGGTGTGTAAGTAATTGTTTTATATAGTGGTGGTTTTGGGGAAGCAGAAGTCTCCCTTCAACTCATTTTTGAATCCTGGCATCTCCCTCGACAAATGCCTGAAGTTTCTTTGGCAAGATTTCAGAAGTCACAACAGAGGAAGGCAGAGATAGTCCTTGATTTATAACCACAACTGAGTCCAAAATTTTGGTTGCTAAGTGATTTGTCTTTGCTTTCTTGCTGGGCTGAGAGAGAGAGAGAGTGACTAGTCCAAAGACACTCAGATGGCTTTGTGCTGAAATTCTTGTTTGACTTGTGTCTAGTCTGGTGCCTTAACTACTACAAAGCATATATACCCTATCTTTTATCCCATTTAGTGTTTTTCTATCTTGTTGTACCTCTAATTTGAAACTCTAATGCAGGGATGTCAAATTCAATTTCATTGAGGGCCACACCAGAGCTGTGGTTGGCTGAGTGGGTGTGGCCAATTAGATGGGTGTGGCCAGCTTGATGCCACTCTCCAAACTGCTGGCATGTTTCCTCTTTGCACTGGGTAGACTGGGAAAAACCACGCTGGCCCAATGGTGCCTCTTTGCATTGGGTAGACCAGGCTGAAGCAACAAGGGCCAGCCCCTTACATTTTCCAAGACAGCCTCCAGGTCAGATCCAACCACATAGCAGGCCGGATAACAGATAATAGATAATCAGAGTTGGAAGGGACTTTGTAGGTCATCTAGTCCAACCCCCCGCCCAAGCGGGAGACCCTACACCATTTCTGACAGATGGCAGTCCAATCTCTTCTTGAAAGTCTCAAGTGATGACGCTCCCACAACTTCTGAGGGCAAGCTGTTCCATTGGTTGATTGTTCTCACTGTCAGAAAGTTTCTCCTTATTTCCAGGTTAAATCTCTCCTTGTTCAGTTTCCATCTATTATTCCTCGTCTGGCCTTCGTGTGCTTTGGAAAATAGCTTGACCCCTTCCTCTCTGTGGCATCCCTCAAATATTGGAAGACTGCTATCATGTCTTTCCTGGTCCTTCTCTTTACTACACTAGCCAAGCCCAGTTCCTGTAACCGTTCTTCATATGTTTTAGCCTCCAGTCCCCTAATCATCCTGGTTGCTTGTGGTTTTTTGCTGCCCACACCCTGGCGACGGGCAGGGTCTGAGTTCAGAGCCCTGGGCCTCTCATGGTAAATGAATAAACACACGGACACAATGTTTACTCGGGATGAAAAGGCCCTGAACAAAAGGCAGGTACCTCCTTTTATTAGGTTGCTTGCAAGCGTCATAGCAGGAACAAGGAATTTTTCCTTATAAGGTAATCTACATAATTATGCTAATACAAAAACTATACCATTGCTGGGGTCTTATCACCTCCGCTCTTAGCCCTGCCCAGTTACTTTCTTCTCCCACATAACTTTCGTTTCTCCTACTTTCTTCTCCCATAACTTTCGTTTCTCCAGCCAGCGCCCCTCCCAGCCAGCATTCCACAAGGTTGACCACTGCAACTTTTAGCATCCATTTATTGTAACAGTTGTATATTGCAACAGTTGCTCTTCTCTGTACTTTTTCTAGAGTATCAACATCTTTTTTATAATGTGGTGAACAAAACTGGATGCTGTACTCTAGGTGTGGTCTTACTAAGGCGTTATAGAGTGGTATTAGTACCTCCCTTGATCTCGATTGTATCCCTCTGTTAATGCAATTTAGGATTGCATTAGCTTTTTTGGCTGCTGCTGCAGACTGCTGGCTCATATTTAGCTGGTTGTCCACTAAGACTCCAAGATTCCTCTCACAGTTACTGCTATTGAGCCTGGTTTCACCCAGTCTATATGTGAACTTTTGGTTTTTCTTGCCTAAGTGTAGGACTTTACTTTTCTCTACATTGAATTTCATTTTGTTAGATATTGCCCAGTGTTCTAGTCTGTAAAGATCCATCTGGATCTTGAGCCTATCTTCTTGGGTGTTAGCTATTCCTGCCAGCTTAGTAACATCTGCAAATTTGGTAAGTTCCTCTTCTATTCCCTCATCGAAGTCATTAATAAAGATATTGTGGATCTGGTCCATAGGCCTTATGTTTTTCACCCGGGCTCTAGTGAATAAAAGAAAAATATTTTATGTGGTCTTTCCATTTCTGAAATGCATACCTTGCTAAGCTTACCTGTCACCAACATTATATTCCTAAAGTACCTTCTGAAAACATTGTTTCAGTTAGTTTTCATAAAGTAAAGTTGGAACTTCAAAATATTTATAAAGTATTAAGATATATTTAAAATAGCTTCATCCCTGTCATGCCCCCATCGGAGTTTGAATCCAAAGAAGAAGACAAACAGCTGACAGGGAGCAGGAGAGTGGCTCCATTGGCTGTGCAGGAAACTGGGGAAGGGCAAAGTCAGGCTGGACAGAGCAGGAGAGAGGTAGAACAAGGGAGAGGGGGTTCAGAGGAAGACCAAGGCCCACCCCTCTTCATCCTAGGGCACGCAGGAAGAATGGAGAAGAAAGCAATGTGGGTTGCATGGCTTACGAGGAAGGAAATGGGTCTTCACAAGGCACACTTAGGGATTGAGTTTAAAGCAGAGGCAGATGGGTGGAGTGGTTGTCGGGAACAATTGCTGAGTTTATCTAGCCTTGGTGGCTGTTATCAGAGTTCCGGGCATCCTCCCAACTGGTTTGATTTACTGCCATGTTATTTCACTTCTGGAACTCCTTATCTTACCCTGCCGGATTTATTACCTTATTTTGCCTTGTTGGATTTATAATTTAAAGTTTTCTGTTTACAGTGTTTGGATTGGAATATCTGCAGTCAAAGGATGTTGCAGGTTTGTGGGAGAGTTTTTTTTCCAGACCGGAAGGTAATCGGGACATTGGGGGCAAAGTTGGAGCTAATAAAGGAACCCATACTTAATTCTTTGGCTGAGTTGCCTTTGTGCCACGCCCCGGGTCATCACAATCCCCTTTATATTTTATGCTGTAATTGAATCTATATTATCCATCCTTAACTTAAACCACAAATACAACTGATTTATTCCTGTGGTGACAAAGGATACCTGTGGTCATTCAAAGATTGCTGAACTGCAATTCCCATCATCTTTTACCATTGTTCATACTGCCCCCTGCTGGCATGGGAAATCCCACCATATAATATTTAGAAGGTCTGAACTTCCCACTATCTATAATAAAGAATGGCTTCTGTAAAAAAAAAAGTTGCTTCGGGATGTAATATAATATTTATTTGTTTGTTTGTGTATTGATTTGTAGGCTGTTTCTATTCAAGTGGCTTACAGCAAAATTACAGTAGTGTCAAACTTCCTTTCTCATAAAATAGGTTTAATTTTGTCATCAAGAAAAATTATGTGTTTTTCATGAAGCACCATTCCAGAATGCTTTCTATTCCCTGCTTATCTCAGAGAGCTACCATTAAAAGAAAGAGAATAAGTAAGGGAGAGAGAAGAAAAAAAAACTCCATGACCTAGTTGTAAACAGATTCAGTCATACTGTATATAAACATAAACTTTAAAAAGTATTGAATTTTTCAATGATTTTTATCCAGCTATCACCAACCACTCAAAATATTATTGCAATTAAGGTTTTAATATAATGTATAAAAATATAATTATTTACATTTATAATATTGTTTGCATATAGAACAGTATACAGTTAACATTCTATAGACCAGAAAAGCTCAAGAAAAAACACTTGTGATATAAAAGGCCAACTTACATATAACTATCCTAGACATAAATAAAGAAGCTTGTTATTTCAGAATAAGGCAAGCTCACATTTTAAATTCTGTAGTACAGTACAGGAGTAAAATTAGTTGTCTCAATTCAACAAGAATATGCCTATGACTTTGATCCATGACCTACACATTGCCTGGCTATGTGTACACTTGTCTTAAACACAAGTAATCTGATTTAACACTTTTGTGAAATAGACTGTGAAGGAGCAACCAGATACAATCTTTTTGTCTTTGATTTTTAAAAAGAAACTGTCTAAGGTGACAGAAGTAGTCTTACTATTGCATAGCTGCCAAGAACATAAGATCAAATATATTATAAATTTGTGTTAAGGACTAGTCTAGAATACTATTTTCCTTTGGTATACAAATAACACTGTTTGGGATTACTTCATATATCATTTGGTTCATGCTATTAATTTTAATAGTTATCCACCTGTATGTCTTGTTAGTCAAAAAGTTTTAGGACTGTTCTTTAGAAAATGATGCAAAAATGCCTTTTTACAGCTACCATTTTATCTGAGATTTGAAGATCTCTCCTTCCTACTTCACATTACACATTGCATTTTAAATGCAGTTTTCTTTCCAACTGAAGAAGCGGAGGATTTAAACACAGTTTAATTGTTTTTCATTGTTTCAGTTTGCTTTGGTTGATAGAAGACAATGTAATTGCTAAGCACATCCAGCAAGAGCAGTCTTTATTTTAAGCTGTAGTTCCACATAATCTGCTGACTGTTGGGACATCTTTGGTGTCGGATTCTGGTCTTCCTGAAACCACAAACGGCCAAGTCTGTGAATTTAAAATATGTTTCCATGTTAGAAAGAAAGATGACATTTAACAAGGACCAATTTGCTGCAACATAATTTCCACCCATATTTGACAAAACAAAAACAGAAGTGTTTGCTTGATCAAAAATCAGATGCGATACATTTGAATTTATTAAAGATGATTTATTAAATTTATTAAATTTATTAAAGATGAATTTCTTGCTATAGGATGTTAACAGCATTAAACAACATGCTAATCTAATATAATGCATTAGAATTTTTACTGTATAGACTACAGCAAAGCAAAAACTCTGCAGAAAATACCTTGCTTAAGCCCATTATGTAGCTAATATTCTTGTTCTTTTATATCAACTGATTGACTTTGAAACAAGCTTTTGCTGTAAAATTATTATTTTAATCCAAATATATACATTTCTTTTGCTGAAACATTGCCAAAAGCCTTTAATGTGGACACTTTTTTGTCCATATTCTACACACAACTACTTATGTAAGCAAGTTTTGTGGAAATGGAAATGAAACAGCTTCTATAGTTCCTTTATACAAAAGCAGTAAGAGAGTTTAATTTCTAGCCTATGGATGAGAGAAATGTGTATGTCATTGATTTGTTCAATCAGGCAGGAAAATAAAAATGACCAAAACATAATTTTATTATAGCCATTATAATAGGAATAGTGCTTTTTAATTATACAAACAATGATTGTATGATTATCATTTTATTTATTTATTTAATGTTTAATTATCTATTTTAAATGAACGAATTGTCCTCGACTTATGGCCATAATTAAGCTCAAAATGTCTTTAATAAGTGAGTTAGTTAAGTGAGTTTTGCCCCATTTTATGACCTTTCTTGCCCCAATTGTTAAGTGAATCAATCCAATTGTTAAGTTAGTAATATAGTTAAGTGAATCTGGCTTCCCCATTGACTTTGCTTGTCAGAAGATCACAAATGCTGATCACATGACCATGGGACATTGCAACCATCATAAATATGAACCAGTTGTCAAGAGTCCAGATTTTGACCTTGGGTATGCTACAATGGTTGTGTGAAAAACATTCATGTCACTTTTTTCAGTGCTCTGATAATTTCGAATGGTCACTAAATGAATACAAGTCAATCTTTATATACTTCATATTATATAAAATATGGGTAACTAACAATCAAATATACAAATAACAAAAGATACAGTGAAATTAGAAGTGCTTGCATGCTACCAGGTGCCATAACTCTCCACCTCAAGAACACAAATGCTGAGTTCATCTCCTATCCTGACCCAACACCTGGGGGAAAAGCTCAGTCTTAATGGCTGTCAAGGAAACAAGAAGAGTAGGGCATTCCTCCATATCTTGGAAGTGGGGTGCCTACTCCATAGCCACTGCTATGGGAAATTCTATTTCCTAGGTCTCACTAGATGCATTTAACATCAGGAGGCCTGCAGACTATTAAATTAAACCATTCCTTAAGGTATCGGCATTTTCTACAATTTTGTTATATAAATTAGTTTAATTTGCATACAGCAATTTCAAGAAGCTTGTCCAATTCAAAATTTTCTAGAATGCCTCCCCTTTTTTTTCTTTACAAACTAAATTTTTCATTATAATATAAACTAATGTGGTGAAATGGGTTGCAGGTGAGAAACCATTAAGTAGGAATCTTTCCAAATAAGGTTGTTTCAATAGAACCTAATGTATGTGGACTAAACCACTTCAAGGAAAGCCAGGAAATGAATACTGTATAAATTCTGGTTCTCCTACAGTTGTATTGGTTATTGTGAAAAATTTACAGAATGAATATACATAGTCAAGGCCGCCATTTAAATTAGGCATTTTGACAATGCCTCTTCTAGAATAGTGCTCATATTTTTTAAGAGAGCATTCTAGTATTAAATGTATTCTCCTTTCTTGAAATAATTTTTTGGGGCTTTCTTAGTTTGATAAAATACCACAGTTACAAAATATTTATTAGACATATTTTGTAGTATCTTCTGCTATATGTTATAATCAACATCTGCATAGCTTAAAAACTGCAATCATTAAATACAAACATGTCTATGTAAATGTTGCTGTTACATAGATAGATACATTTCTGGAATCAAATCTACATGAAGATATTAACTGTTTCTCTTTGGAATGTGTTAAATGCAGTCATGTATAATTGGAGATGTTTAGAGAAGGCCACCTGTATCTCCTATATATATTTTTGAATCAGATCCCATACAATTCAGATATGAAAAACCTGCTAATTTTCAGAAACAGTTCACTGCCATGTAAATGAGAGTTCAATTTCAATATTCCTAGACTTAAGCTATCAATGATTACAATAGTCTTTTATTATTTTAGCCTAGAGAATAATCTGTTGTGTGCCTTTGGCATTTGAAGTTTTTAATAGATATTGGATTGCAAATGGAAAAATGGAAATAGCAGAATTGTCAAAAATATGAAGAAAGGTTATGGCAAAATGTATTATCATAGTTTAGCCATAATTAGGTACGGTCCCAATTGCTTATCTCAAAATATGATGAAAGTTGAATAAGATATTTCTGTATGAGAAATAATTAAAAAGAACTGGACTTTGTAGTTTAGAAACCAATAAAAAACAATTTTTTTGATTTCGAAGAACAGAAAACTAATGTTGCTCATCTCATCTAACAGGGCAGTTAGGTCTTTTTAGAAGCAAACTGAGTTGAGAGTCATAGATCCTTGCATTTGAGTCTACTGAAATTGTAGGAGAGATTTAATTTCTCCCAGCCAATTGCTCTACTAACAAATAGATCAACCCTTCATTGATTAAAAAAAAGCAGATCCTGCACTTGCAGAAAAATGCTAAGAAAACAAAGAGGGGAAAACTCTGCTAACAAAAGCTGCAGCCACTTAAAAGCTGAGGGATAATTTTTCAAGCATAGAGGGATCTAAAGGGATTCTTAATAACACATGTTTAAAAGATCTTTGAAAGCCTCCCTCCAGATAATGTCAAATCCAATTAAGAGCTCTCCAGATATGCTTACACTTCCTATTCGCACTTCTAAGAGTGGCAGGCTTTTAAAAAGTGTCCTTATCTTTGTATACACAGTTGAAGTGTCTTTTGAAACATGTAGTTGCTCATCACCCTGGAGCAATTCTCATGTGTGGAACACGAGAAGGTGTTAATAATACTTGCAGACGATCAAAAATACAAAAGATAAAACCAATGCTGTGTCTACAAACCAGTCCTTTATTGAGAACTTAGGGAGCCAGTGAATGAACCATTCACTGACTCAACTTACAAATTCTTGAATGTCTCTTTTAAGTCAGATATTAGTTTATTGATTGTATTTGGACAAAAGCAGGAAGAATGTTTCTAAAGAGGGGAGAGCCAGATACATAATTTACAGAGTATGAGATACGTATTCTAAAGAGTATGTATACTGTATAGAGAATACAAATACTGTATACTGTACACATTCTGTATCCTCCCAAATTTCAGATTTCTCACTGACTGATTACAGAGACACTCCTTTTAGCCTGTCGTATTCTTCTGTATTATATTATTCTCCTATAATATCTCTTATCTACAGTAATATTAACTTGAACTTTAAAAAATACACATTTATACAGAAACAGATACTTCAAGACCGGCCAACCTATGTATGTTCCAGGATTGCAGAAACACCCTGCCCGTGTTCGGAAAGCACCGCCGTCCTGCCAGTGGAATCGAAGTCAGGCCAAGCCTGCCTTCCGAATCTGGTCTTCCTCAAAGGGTTCCGAGCCCACTCACCAGGTTGACAGGATGCACGTAGCCCTTCTCATAGCAGTCTTCTTGCAGCAACTGCCGCAGGTGGGCGATGTAGCTGGAGGCCAGGCGCAACGTATCCAGCTTGGAGAGCTTGGTGTCCGGAGGCACCCAAGGCAGGCTGGTTTTCAGGCGCGAGAAGGCTTTGCTCAGCACGCGCATGCGGGCTCGCTCGCGCGCGTTGGCCGCGTTGCGCTGCGACTGCTTGCACTCGGGCGTCGAGCCCGCGGCGCTCCGACCCGCCGCCGGTTGCTTTTTAACTCCGCCACTTTCTCCGGTCCCGGAGCCTCCCTTCGTGCGCTTCTTTTTGCTCGCCACCGCCTCCTCATTTTCCTCCTCCTCCCCCACCTCGTCTTCTTCCTCTTCTTCTTCCTCCTCCTCCTCCTCCTCCTCTTCTTCCTCTTCAGCGGCGGAGGAATTATCCAGCGAAGGGCAAGTTTCACCTCGGGGACGCCGCTTAGTGCGGGGCGCCGCCCGGTACTCCAGCTGCAGCTCCCTCACATCCATCCGAGGCTCCGGCAGCTTCTCGGAACCACTCGGGGAACCTGCAGGCATGGCCCAACCGCGGGACGCCAGAGACGGGCGCCAGCTAGAAGGCGCCCCCTCCGAAGAGGAGCTCCACGACGGCTTGCGCTGGTTCTTTGGCGAGGGGGTGTATATATGTGTGTGTGTGCCAGGGAGAGCGGGGCAAACCATCTGCGTGGTCAAGGGGGGGGGCGCGCAAAAATGAGCAGCCCGCGTAGCGGCGCGCCGAGGGCAGACTAGGCTCTGCGCACGTCAGCCGTCCCTTCGCCGGTCTTTGGATCTTTCCCAGCCCCTCGGGATCCGGAGAAACGTGCTGAGAGGAAGGAGGAGGTGGTTGGAAAGCGCCCAACGCTCGCCGTTGAAAAAAACCTCGCCTTAGCCGCGGTGAGCTGCTGTCCATGTGCTGTCGGGTATGCGCTTACTGCAGGGGTCCCCAAACTTGGCAATTGTAAGACTGGTTGGACTTCAATTTCCAAAAAGTGCCTTTATCTTTTCTTTTATGTATACTGAGAGTATTTGCACCAAGACAAATTCCTTGTGTGTCCAATCACACTTGGCCAATAAAGGATTCTATTCTGTTCTGTTCTACTCTACTCTACTCTACTCTACTCTACTCTACTCTACTCTACTC